TACAACTTGAATATTCCATTTATCAATATTGGCCGTAGTTTTTGAGTTAGTTTTCAGGAAGGTAGGCATATCCACTTTTGTCAATCCATCATCGGCCACCGGGCATTTTCCTCGATCCCTCTTTTGTCCTGACTAAATTTTGAAAACTAGGCTAAACTAACATAATACGGCGCATCTGGTTCGTAGATTTACCTATTTTACTTATTTTACTAGAGTATATCGAGCCAAATACAGACGTATCCATTGTGGGCACAATGTAACTTCCTCTTGATGTATCACTCTTACTAAAACGTTTTGGGTTATTTAAAGTTTGTTTTTGTAACCTAGATAGCCTGAAATTCCCTTATAGGGCTAAGATGTGAATTCTTAAGCTTTCGGACAAGTGCTCACTTATTGAGTTGCAAACGACACTAAATGACAATTTTAATAGAGTAAGAAGGGCTTAGTTTTCCCTAATATGGATCAGTCAATCATGCACTCCATCGAAAAAATACTGACAAATTGTTACCCCTGACAAGTAATGCAACTCTTTGTTATATGAACGAATCATTCTATAGGCTCCAATTTAATCCTTATTTCTCCAATTTCGTCCAAAGAAGGCAGGTCATAAAGTTTGTCTGCATTAATAAAGGCCTGATAATTACGACCTAATGCATTTCTTCTCGTCGTTTTTCTTTCCAGCTTACCACTATTGGTTTGCTATTATTACCACTGCTTATTTTGTTATGCTTCATCTGTTTCTATTATTTTTTATCCTTTCATTAAATCATTATGTCTGCTTTATTTTACAGCTTGGTTGAATCAAATAAGCCCGTCCTATTACCACCCTTTATGCAAAAGGAATTGAGCTCATCGTATGGAGCCAATTACCACCCACTTACTGATAAGGGTTCAATTAATGTTGCCAATGCTAAGTCAACACAGTCATCCTGTGTTTCTGTTCAATCAGCAGGTTCACTGATAATACCCTCGAAAGCATTTTCTTGCAACCAATTTCGACCCACTTTGACATCCGTTACTGATATTACTGGTACACTGGCCAACTCTTCAAATACCTCACTTCCTACCATTGTTACAAGCAAACTTGCCAACACTGCTGGCTTTGCGCCACTGGGTCCTGAAGCTTGTCTGCCACCGATATCGCATGCAGAGACAAATGATGCCCTATTGCATCGAAAGTATTATAGCCAGTATAACTGTGCCGCATCGCCTAAATCTTCTTCAAATTCTTTATCGTCTGAATTGATTGACTTGGATGGAATCAAAAATCTCAATCCTACTCTTTCTAAAGACACTACCAAAGTTCAGAGCCTAGTAGCTCCGCGACGAGATTATTCAATAGATCTTACTTGTGCATCTGATGATGCTAAAGAATTAAGTCATAATGAAAGCAGTGACACCAAAATTAAAGCTATAAGAAAAGAAGTAAGTTCATGCTTTTTAATGGAAGTTTTTGTCTAAGTATTTCGTTCGAGTATATTTTCGATCCCATGCATTTTCTCTAATACTTTCTATTAAATTTTTTATAATGGATTCGTTCTAAATATGAATATGATTCTATTGGATCATTCCATTACTGATCATATTCACTTTTATTGATCATAGTTACGATACTTTTAAACTATTATTCTCTTGTGAGGCCGATATTTTTTGTTATTCTTTTTGGTAATGACCTTTGCCATTAGTCTTTTTAATAATTTATAAGTATTTTTTATTATTTTTTGCCAAATGAACATCGATAATAAAACTATTAAAATTATAATGCTGATTCTTTCTAAGGATGATGCTTCTTGTTATTCACCAGGCCAGTTTGGGAAAATGTGTGTGAGACAGAATACCGATAATATCGTCAAAGTCTCCATGTCCCTTAGTGATTGCAGTCGCAAATCTCTCCTCGATAGAATCCGCGAATTGGGTTCATCTTACGTCAAATCCACTAACTACCGTTGCTCTCTTTGTCAGGATCAGGTACCATCATTTTGGGCCGCTCATTTATTGCATATAGCACACTACCATTCTCAAGTAAGTAGGCAGTACTTTTCTCTCCATTTGCCAATTAAAATTTTTTGTGAATTAACTCGAATATCTTCATTTCAGGATTGTCTGGATTCAGTGATTGATTCAAATATCAGGCTTCCCTTCTGTTGCCAGTATTGCGGTGAATGCTTTTGGCTGAGATCGGACCTTGCTGTCCATGCCCCTGTTTTTTGTCAATACTGTCCTGCTGCTTCGCAGCCCTTGTGTTCAAATACCTTTTATTTGCACATGCTAATTAATCATCTTGTAAGTCAATAGGCTATTTACACATTTTCCACTATTTTTTTAATTCCCCCGCATATCAAACTTAATTATTTCTTTTTTCTAGGATGCATTCCTCTGTGACATTTCTGGAGAAGGCCATTGTTTTGTCTGTAATAAATCGTATGGAGATGGTTTTTCTTTACTCATCCATCTTCATCAAAATCATGACATATGGCTACAAGAAGCTCTGGTTTTATCTTTGAACCCATCCTCATCTGAATTTCTGGTTAAACTTAGTCGACAAGGCCTCCGTCTATTTTCTACCAGGCTAGAAAATTCTCTTGTGTCAATAGGCAATGCTGTTAAACCTTGGCCGGCTTCATTTACACCTCCCCTTTTCTTGCTTCTTTCTACTGGTAACTTCCACCCAGCTCGTCTCCCAGATATGTTGAAACAGTTGTCAAGCCTTCCACTTTCTCATG